TAAGATCAGGCTGTAAGGCATTTTCTTAATTAGCAATTGATATGGGAAGGCTGAGCCCATTAAGGGTGATACCCAGGGGCTAATGGTCCTGGGTCCATTAAAATTTCCCAGAATTACATAACTTCATGTTGATATCCAAAGTAGGTCTACCTTCATTTAAAAAAAAAAAATAAAAAGGCAGGCTTAGTCATAGCTGGTGGCACATGCCTTTAATCTTAGCACTCAGGGAGGCAGAGGCAGGTGGATCTCGGTGAGTTTGAGGTCAAGCTGGTCTACAAAGTGAGTTCCAGGGCAGCCAGAACTGTTACATGGAGAAATCTGTCTCGGGAAGAAGAATTTTCTACATGCACACAATTCATTTCCAATCTAGTATACTCAACTTTTACCCTCAACTTTAAACAGCTAATTTCCTAGTGATCCTCGCATCCTACTTCATCCTGAAATGTCCTCCTAGCTCATTTTCAATCCAATGAGCCTCCTTACTTCTGCTATTCACAATAGTGTTCTCGTAAAGCTTTTCCAGGCTGGAAAGATAGCACAGTGCTTAAGAGAACTAGATGCTCTTCCAGAGGACCTGGGCTAGACTGCTAACGCCCACATGGCGGCTCTCAAGCGTCTCTGACCCAGGGTTCTGGTGCACTCTTCTGGCCTCCCCAGCACCAGGTATGCTCTGGCACACATGCAGGCGAAACACCCATACACATAAAATAAAAATGTGAAGAATAAAGCTTTTCCAACTATCCAATGTACATAAACAGACTTTACAGATTTCTCCTCTTGATCCTTTTAGAGAGAAATTTTATAAGTAAAAGCCATACTAAAAAACAATTGTAGCTTTTATTTAATAGATGTTTATAATTTACCTAGAATTGCAATAAGCAACATAAAGACTTGGTTTCAATCAATACTCAAAATCACTCTGGGAGACAGACATTACAATTACCTTTCCCTATTTCCTAGGGACAGTGCAACCTTGGAAATGTGTATTCATTATCCATAATCACACTAAAGGACAGAGCGCTTTCCTTTGTCTTATTTTCTTTATGAAAATACTTAAAGCTACTTAAAAAGCTGCCTTCAAATTCATGACCTCCTGCCTTAGCTTTCTGAGCAATGAAGGATCACCCACACAGCCAGCTCTGCTCAGATTTCAGCTACAAGTCTTCAGAACCAAGTTCTTATCCACCTCTTCTGCATGTAAACAGTAACTAGTTCAAGGAATGAAGTCCAAAGGTGCTGTTTTTAGAAATAGTTAACTCAAAAGTGAACCATAACAGTAGTTTTAAATTCACATTTCTGCAATTTACATTGAAATTATCAATATCAGTCTCGCTTCAATCAACTATAGACTATCGCAGAAGAAAAATGGACAAGTTTCCCTACTTCAATATCTTTGCTTCAACTTCTCAAGTAGCAGAATTTAGAATTAAAAAAAAAAAAAAAAACACTGAAATTTCATTTGATCTGGCACCGAGTTTAATACTATGTAGTCTGTATTCAGTTTCTTTTCTGTTGCTGTGATAAAGACTGAACAAACAACTTAAAAGAAGAAAGGACTTTCTGGCTTAAACTTTGAGATCACTGTCCACTCTTAAGGAAAGTCAAGGAAAGAACTCATTCCCAGCCAAGGGAGTTCAGCAGAAATCATGGAGAAACGCTGCATGCTGGCTCCCTTAAACTCATTCTTAGGTAGCTTCCTTACATAGCTCAGGACCACCTACCTGCTCAAGGAAAGGCACTACCCACAGGAAGCCTGGGCCCACCTATATCCCAAGCCCTAGTATTGACAATTTTTATCATCACTAGGGCATCAAATACACTTTAGCCATAAGACCAATGAAATAACTTTTCTAAAGATGACATTATAGTCAAGCAAATATAAGCTAAATACAAGGTTTAGTCTTAACTTTTTCTGAAATCAGATTAAAAGTAAAATAACCTGCTCTAGCTGCCCATTTCTGGCCAGCTGCCATGCTCTGTATAATCTACATTATTTCCAACTCGTTTTATTCTCTATTAACAAGTGATCACTTTTAACTTTTTTTAAAACGTTTACGGAACCAAAACAATCTAAACCAAAAATTCAAAAACGGACTGAATCAAGTTAACCCAAGTCACAAAAACTGCATGTTGCTATTAATTACTACACTGTCCCTACACTGGAGCCTGAACAAAAGACAACACAGTTAAAATTTACAATCACCTTGATGAAATAGTAACTCATCTCCATAGTCAAATCAAAGATAGAAAGTGGGCCACAGCCTTGCTCCAACAAGGAATTTTCTTAGGGGGGAGGACACAAATGTCTAGGGAAGGTAATTTAGCTTAGTGGTAAAACACCAGTTCCATTATCACCACCACCAAGAACTATATTCATAAATACAAAAACCATGACTATATTTCACTGAGGACACTTTTTTAAAAATAATTTTTTTAGTTTTATGTGCACTGGTGTGAGGATGTCAGATCCCCTGGAACTTGAGTTACAGATAGTTGTGAGCTGCTGTGTGGGTGTTGGGAACTGAACCTGGACCTTCTGGAACAGCCAGTGTTCTTAACCACTGAGCCATCTCTCCCGCCCCTATCACTTTTACTTTGCATAAAAGCAATACTGCTAACAAAGATTCTATAAATCAGTATTCAATAGACTCACTCAAATATAAGAGTCAAAATGATTACTCTGGAGTAAAGCCTTTATTTTATAATGACATATTAGCCACTTAATCTATAACAAGGGTGAATTTTTTAAATTATTGGGTAGTATATACCGTCCCTGCTACCCATATTTACTTTAATTTCAGAATCTAATTCAGGAAGCATTGTTGATTAAACTTTCAGGTTTCCATACACTCAATAGTGTGGTTGCTTTCAATTCTTATTAGTTTAAATGTTTCATTCACTCTCCTTGCTCAGAGCTGTACATGGCTTGAGAATTAGGGATATTTAATAATTCCTCAAAGATTAATTACTGTCTTGATTTAACTAAGATCCAAAAAGGACTTGAGAAAGCAAACACAAACTATTACATCAGCATTTCTGGGACAAGATGGTTGAGAAGGACAGAGAGGAAAAGGATAAGAAGCAGAAATACCAGAAATTTGACAGGGCTCTGCTCCAACAAGCTTTAAACAATCTGTAATTCTCATAACAACGTGGGAGTTAAAGTATTATTTGTAAAATACTTTAATTTGCTTTTGCAATGCGTGTGGCACTTGCTTTTAATCCCACATGTGGGAGGCAGAGGAGGCAGATCTCTAGGAATTCAAGGCCAGCCTGGTCTACACACTGAGTTCCTGGCCTGCTAGGGCTACATAGTGAAATCCTGTCTCAAAAATAGCCTAAAATCAAATAAACAAACTTTTGCTTTCCATGCATTTTTAAGGATAAAGTGATGGTTTACATCAAGCACTCGACAGCTGCAGGTAACATGTTTTATTAATCTTTTTAAACTACTCACCGAAGTCCTGTCAGGTTCTCCATCGGCTAAACCTGCCTCCATAATGGAAGATAGATTTATGCTTCTCTTTCCATTAATGTTTAGCCATTCTACAAGTCTGGAAACCCTAGAAAAGGAAAATGTATGTATTAGGACTAGCTAAAAATTAAGGCAAGTAGAAAACAAGCATTAATTACAGCAGAAGAGGAAACATCTCATGCTAAGGTTACTGGACAATTAAACAACAACAAAACATCTTGACAAAGTTTGTTTTTTTTTTTTTAAAGAATTAATCTGGAGAGACGGCTCAGTGGTTAAAAGCACTTGCTGTTCTTGAGGAGCACCCAAGTTCAATTCCCAACATCCACTTGGCAGCCAACAGTCATCTATTACTCCAGTCAGCACCCTCTTCCGGCCTCCATGCATGCACGTGGTAACAGACATACATGTAAGCAAAATACCACCCATAAACATAAAATAACAAAATAATGTAATAAAGAAAAACTATTTTATTTCACTAATCACATACAGATTAGAACTAAAAGATTTACAAATACAAAACGAAATACTATATAAATATAAAACAAGTAGAACAATATGCAATCAGGGAATAACAAAATGTAATTAAAAACTAAAGATAAAAATGGTGGTGGAGAGGCTGAAGTTGAAGCTAGTGGTCTTGGCAATACAGGTGGTAAGATAGGTTGTGTACACTGACATGCAAATAAATAGGGTTTGGAAATAGCAGATAGAAACCAAGAAGCATGGAGGTTCAGCACTTGCCAAATAGCAAATCTATCATGATCCAGGTGTGGTACATGGGTACCTGTATTCTCAGTACTCAGAAGACAGAAACAGGAGGTTCACTGAAAGTTAAAGAGTTCACCTTGGGATACATTAACAAGAAAAACACAACAGAACACCCAATTCCAACAGTTAATAAACAATACAAAGGGAGAAGTAATTAACAAAAGCAGAAGAAACTTCCTGCACTGGAAAAATATAGGTCTTCATAATGAGAACTCTTCGAAAGCCCAATAGGATCACGAACAAAGTGGCCAGGGCGGCAGGGATAGAACTGGAGTTCAGGAATATCGACTTTCTTGTCACCAATTAGTTAGGCACCAATTCCTTCCTGGAGCAGGGCTCACCAAGAGTTCCCACATACATATTTCTGAAAACGGCATCTACTATATATGGGACTGTTTCTCCACTGGTTAGGAGACAGACTTCTAGAAGTGCTCTTTCTGAAGGGAGGAATACAACATTTAGAAGACACGTGATGATCTCACTTGACTAGAGACTAAAACTCCACCCTAGTCATGTTAGAATATCAATACTCCTGATGTTACTACGGAGACATTACACTGATGCTCCACAATGGAGGTAAGAAAGGCTACACCTGAAGTACAGGAAAACCCTTGGTAATCTCTTCTCGTTACTATTTCTTAAGATTAATGTCAATGGAAAACTACAGTAATACAATACAAATACCACAACCAGACGGGATGTTTGTAGAATGTAAACAATATAAAATGGACATACTAGACAACATAATATATGTGTGCTGTGATTATGATGTTACAGAGAACTGTAATTTCTTATTTTGAGTATGTCCACGTGCAAATCAAATACATATGATTTCTTTCCTTTCATTGGCTTATCATGTAAGATACACTGACCTCACATTATATTTAAAGCCATTGTTAACTCTGTGTCTGTGTTGAAGTTACAAACATCAACATCACTCACATATTACGCATCCTACTCTAGAAAAAGAAAGGGATTATTATGTTGTTTACAAGGGAGTTGTACCACATCAAATGGAAGTATGACCTCATTATTGCCTTTGGAATCAAGCATATTATTGGTTTACTAGGGTTGTGGGATGGCTATTCTTAGCTGTCAACTTGACCACACCAGGAATTAATGAAAAACCAAATGGCTGGATGTACCTGTGAAGAATTTTTTTTCTAATTGAATAATTTGAAATGGAAGACCTACTTATAATCTGTATCTCTGAGGTGTGAGGATTCACCTTTAATCTGGACCACACCTTCTGTGAGCAGCCTAAAGGACATGGAAGAAGGTAGCTTGTTCTCTCTCTGCCTGCTTGCCTTCACTCTCACTGACAATCCAGCCCTTCATTGGCATCAAAGCCTACTTGGGATTCTGGGGTACACTGAAGACCCCCTGAGATATCCAGCCTTGTGGCCTGAACAACTACTGGATTCTTGGACCTTCTGTTGGTAGAAAGCCATTGTTGAACTAGCTGGACGCTGTAAAACAATCTAAACCCTTATAATTACATTAGCTAATTCCTCAAAATCAAACATTTGACATCCTGCCCCATTTCCTTTTACACACACACACACACACACACTCACACAATTGGTTATGCTTTTCTGTATGTTTCCAGTGTGCATGTGGTTCAGGGTGTGAGCTCTGAACTCTTTCTGCTGCCATGCCTGGTGCTTACTGCCAGACCTCCCTATGATGCTGATGGACTAAGCCCGAAATAAACCTTCCTTTCTATAAGTTACTCTGGTCATTGTGTTTTATCATGGCAAGAGAAAATAATATATATTCATGTTATCTGCACAGATACAGTTCATCATTTGTTCTCAGTATCTTTGTTCTTTCCTCTGTATCATAGAAGCTAAAGGTATAAGTGATAAGTGTAGTCACTTTGCAAACATCTTTGCCTCTGAGATTCTGAATGACTTACACTGAGACAATGCAATGCTGTACATGATATTTGGAAGGTCTTAAGGAGATAGAAAGCAATCCATTGTTCATCTGAGCACAGTGAACTGGACTTTGATAGGCATGCAGTTTTGCAGTGATCACCAAATGATTCCATGTCACCGACCACTGTATTTTTTTTCTTACTTAGTTTTTATTCATAATCATAAACTTAACTCTGCAATCCAGCTAGACTTGAAGGGGAATGAGGAAAATATGGAACCCAAAGAACTTCAGTGAGAGCAGAGATTACAGGGTACTGCGAGCAGATGGGGCTGGGGTGCTCTCCTGAGCTACAGAAGGAATGGTCTGGTGGGTAAGAAGCCCGCAAGTCAAAAGAATTAGAGTTGTCCACAGTCGGAAATGGTGATCTTCTTGCTGGTCTTGCCATTCCTGGACCCAAAACGCTCCATGGCTTCCACAATGTTCATGCCTTCTTTCACCTTCCCAAAGACCACGTTTGCCATCCAGCCACTCAGTCTTGGTGGTGCAGATAAAAAACTGGGAACCGTTTGTGTTTGGTCCAGCATTTGCCATGGACAAGATGCCAGGACCTGTATGCTTCAGGATGAAGTTCTCATCCTCAAATTTTTCTCCGTAGATGGATCTGCCTCCAGTGCCATTATGGCGTGTGAAGTCACCACCCTGGCACATGAATCCTGGAATAATCCTGTGAAAGGAAGAACCCTTATATCCAAATCCTTTCTCTCCAGTGCTCAGAGCACGAAAGTTTTCTGCTGTCTTTGGAACTTTGTCTGCAAACAGCTCGAAGGAGACGCGGCCCAAGGGCTCGCCATCGGCCGCGATGTTGAAGAACACGGTGGGGTTGACCATGGCTGCAGCAAGCGGTGAGAGGGGATAGCGGCGTCTGCAAAGCCCGACCACTGTATTTTTAAATAATGTATTTTATCACTGAAGATAATAATTTCACTCTGTCAATTTGACTTAAACAATTTGAGGTTACAAATCCAAACAACTGGGTTTAGCACGTCTGTGCTCATCTTCTGAATCTGCAGTACGTCAGGGGTGTTGGGGAAGACTGCAGAACCTCTGACACTGACGCCAGCCAGGGGAAGCAGCCCTGGGTCAAGGAGCAGGCAATGGCTGTGACATTAGGAGTGGCCTGGATCTACACAGACAAAGACTGTCTCAGAAACTGAGTCTGACACATCTGCATTCATTCACCATGAAATCTTTTAGCTAACTAGGAAGGGGTAACGCTCTGAGTCTAATAAACCAACAGAAAGCATCACAGTCAACGGTGAGATCCTGACTGCTCTTCCTTCCCTGTAAGGTATCGTGCCAAGATCCTTTCCATTTAACTTCACACAAGGGATCCTAACGGTGTAATAAAGTCAAATCTAAGTTCTAAGAACTGAAAGGAGAGAAATTATATTTTCAGATAATGTCATTGCACACAAAAAATATGAAAATTGGTAGAATTAATAATTGTGTATAATGACTAATCTTGATCACCAACCTGACTGGATTGAGAGATGTCTAGGAGCTTAAGGAAAACACAATACTAGCTGTGTCTGAGAGCATTTTCAGAGATAAACACGCCCATAATGGCTGTGACAAAAATCAATGGTTTAATCCTTTGATGGATCAAATTCTTTAAATGAGCCTACTCAGAAATGATGGAAGTGTAGATGGGACCGAGCTGGAGGACGCTGGTTGGCATGTCTCTGCAGGGCTTCTTTTGGCCTAGGCTGGTTCTTGCTACTCTCCTCTGATGGCTGCGGTGACCTCATGCTCGCTCCATCGTGCAGCTGAGGCTCAAACCACTCCAGCGAGCTGACTGTGGACTGACATCTCTCAAACTATGAACTAAACAAGTCTTTCCTTTTAAGTTGTTCTCTGAGGTGTTTGTCACTGAGATCAAGTTTAACACAGTAGTTAGCAAGATTATTATACATAAAAGAAATTATTCTTACATATAGCAACTGTCAGAAAATGCAAATTGAATAATTTGCAAATGAATATATATATCCCATACTTAGAAAATAAACTCAATATAAATATTAAAGACTTCTACAATATATAAAAAGCTGCAAAATGTCACAAGAGAAATAAAGAAACTCCAAACAAATAAAAATATAGCATGTTCCTGGCCTAGAATGCCTTGGTATTTTTAAATTGCTAATTCTCAGGCTGGAGAGATGGCGTGGCAGTTAAAAGCACATACTGCTGTTACAGAAGATACAAATTCACTTCAAAGCACCCATATGGGGCAGGGGTTTCTCCAGCTCTGGGGGTATGGAGTATGATCCCACTAGCCTCGATGAGCACCTACATTCACAAGCATATGACCAAGAAGAGACACAGAGACACATATAATTAAAGATCAAATTAAATGTATTAAAAGTTGTTACTTCTCAA